ATAGTTGACACAAAATCCAACTACTGTTTTCTGGAAGCCATATCAGTGATCAAGGTGATAGTCAAGGGCAATATTTGACCTGATGGGTCAGAAGGTCACTGAAATCACGATGATTATTATTTGGGGAATATTGAATGTTCATGATAAATATTTAGACTGTCTGGCCAATACTTTCTAAGAAAAAAATCAGTTTAAATGGTAAATTATGTAATTTTATTTTTATTTTTTTTTAAAACCTGGACCCTATTTTTCTATGATTTTGTGTCAAGGTGACTAATGAAAACAATTTTTGTAACTAACAGCAGCAAAAAAGCACTCGGGGCAATCATTGCACAGTCAATGTTTGTCCACTAACAGTGCTTGTTTTTGTCACTGATAGGCTCAGATTGTTATTCTAAGTGTCTGACAACATTATGGAAGGGTTCCCTACAGAGACAGACCTTTATGTTAAAGAGTTAGAATCAGAGACAGCCCTGAAATTGCCATCCCTATATACCCACAAGACTCTGTTTAAATAAACTAATTTTAGCATGTATAGAGCCAGTATATCTTCACATCTAACTGTGTGGTGAATTAAGGGTTTATTTCAACCAGACTAGAGTTGGTGATTGTTGGAACAGTGGAGAGATGAACCAAGATGCTTTTTGTGAGCTTTATTTTGTTTTAGTTTGTTACCCTTTAAAGGGATAGTGCACCCAAAAATGAAAATTCAGCCATTATCTACTCACCCATATGCTGACGAAGGCCCTGGTGAAGTTTTAGAGTCCTCACATCCCTTGCGGAGATTGGTGGGGGGAGTGGCTAGCACACCTAATGGCAGACGGCGCCCCAGACTAACATCCAAGAACACAAAATTGAATCCACAGAGTATCTCCATACTGCTCATCCGTAGTGATCCAAGTGTGCTGCAGCCGCGACATAAAAAGTTGTTTCGAAAACATCATATGAACTCTGTTTTTAGCCTCACTGTAGCCTGTAGCTCTGACTGCTTCTCTGTGCTCCGTGTTCACGTGTGCGCGCCTGCGCGAGACCAGTGAAAGCATGAGCTTTGCTCACCCGTGTTTACATCACGTGACACGTGCACTGCAGGGAGAGACAACGGTAACCACAGTAGCTAAAAGATAACTTGCACTACGGTCTTTTAGCAAAGGACAGCCCAACATGTCTGAAGACTTTGAAACTGAGGAGGAACAGCATTTCTTTGTTGAGCCGTATTTGTTTGAGCCCGAGTATACGCATGGAACTCAGGCTACTGGACGAAGCAGCCGCCGCAGCTCATGAGCCTAACCCTCAGCCAGCCGCAGAATACCGGAGTCCATCACTGGAAACCTGGTGGTGTAGTTGTTTCAAATGCAAAGCAATGCCAACGGATGAGGAAAGTCTTTGCTGCTCAGACTGGGAATTGGCGATGACTGCACTTGAGAATCTGGACATCAGTACTGACGAGACTGCTGCTCTTCAGAGATCACCGATCACCCTGAGCGCGCACACGTGAACACGGAGCACAGAGAAGCAGTCAGAGCTACAGGCTACAGTGAGGCTAAAAACAGTTCAAATGACTTTTTCGAAACAACTTTTTATGTTGCGGCTGCAGCACACTTGGATCACTACGGATGAGCAGTATGGAGATACTCTGTGGATTCAATTTTGTGTTCTTGGACATTAGTCTGGGGCGCCGTCTACCAATAGGTGTGCTAGCAGATCCACCCACTGATCTCTGCAAGGGATGTGAGGACTCTAAAACTTCACCAGGGCCTCCATCGGCATATGGGTGAGTAGATAATGGCTGAATTTTCATTTTTGGGTGCACTATCCCTTTAAGGTTTGTTAACTGTGAAATGTCTTACTATTTAACAACCCCCTTGCAAATGAACTACCCCAGCCTCCTGTCAGCTAGAAAATGTCCTCTCCTTTAAAGTGATGATTTTGTGTCATCCACAGGCCTCGCTGACCTTCTGTCTGTGTCGTCCCTGAGGAGTCTGGATCTGTCTGAGTGTCTGCACGTCAGTGGTACAGAGATAGTGAAAGGCCTGACGGGCCCCAGTGCTGCCAGAGCACAGCTGGAGACCCTCAGTCTCAAGAGCTGCACCTACATCAGGGTCAGTCAGTGTGTTCGTACAGTATGTGTGTGTTTACTTGTGTCTGTGTGGAAACATTCATGGAAAAAAAACAGCTTTGTCCTCTGCTCTTTTTAGGATCTTGCCGTGTTCTCTGTCACCCAGCTCCTTGGGGATACTCTCCGTGAGCTAGATTTGACGTCATGTGTCAATGTGACTGACCTGTCTGTGCGTGCTATAGCCAAATACCTGCAGAGGCTGGTCGTCCTGCGGCTCGGCTGGTGTAAAGAAGTCACAGACTGGGGTCTGCTGGGCATGGTGGAAACAACCAAATGTGAGCCTGACGAGGAGATGGTGAGAACCACAGACATATGAGAGTGTACAGTACCTGTGATATCAGACGTAAAGTAGTAAAAGTGTCACAGCTGTTATATTAATGTTCTTTTCTCAATAGGGAGACAAGGGTCCCAAGTTCACCCGCACCTTCGGCAACATGGGCTTCTTCAAGCCTCCTCGTTTGCCGTTTGAGGAGCGACCCAAGCTGGTGACGCAGACTGACCTGCAGCAGTTCAGACAGCAGGCTGGAGCTTCACTTTTAGCTCTCAACAGGCTGCAGGAGCTGGACCTCTCCGCCTGCTCCAAACTCACTGACAGCAGCATCACACAGGTGGGAAACTGAGGAGAGACAAACGTTTCAGTCCGCAGCAGAAATGCAGAATATTTGAAAAAACTGCCTCTCCTCCCCTCAGGTGGTGCATTACCCAAACCTTCGCCGTCTGTCTCTTTCCATGTTGCCGGAGATCACTGACGCCAGCTTGGCGTCGGTAGGCTGGCACTGCCGCAGCCTCACCAGCCTGGCACTCAGCCAATGCCCAGGTATCAGTGACCGAGGAGTAGCACAGGCTGCACCGTACCTACACAGGCTGCAGCATCTCTACCTCTCCTATTGTAATAACATCACTGACAGGTGAGTGGCATAAAATCTGTAGCTGTAGTTTCAGATTTAAAGGGACAGTTCATCCCAAAATCAAAAATACATATTTTTCCTTTTACCCGTAGTGCTGTTTATCAATCTAGATTATTTTGGTGTGAATAGCACTACAGGAAGGAAAAAAAATGTATTTTTGATTTTGGAGTGAACTGTCCCTTAAGGAATGAATTTCTTATCTCTTGACCTTTGAACCCTGCAGGTCCTTGTTCCTTCTGGCGCAGCACTGTAAACGTCTGCAAACACTCGACATTTCAAGGTGCAAAAACATCTAGGTAACAACGGTGGACCTCCTTCAATCACAGCTGCCCTTCTTGGAAAATGTCCACTACAAATTCATAGGTGGGGCTGACCTTACCCTCTGACCGACTGATTGAATGTCCTGGATGACCGCAGATCCTTTTAAATAACAAAAACCTGCTGACCAAATCCTGCTCCAAGAGTTGAGCCTCTGCACATTTCAGCAATTTGTACAAGAAGTGAAGGAAATGATAAGTTGTCAGTTTAGAGTGGGAACTACTGTAAAACCTGTCACCTGTATACCACCCTGTGAGTTATTTATACAAGTCTCCTCAGTGTGAGGCTGGTATCATTGTATGAAACCAATGTGGAACTACTTCTGCGTGTACGGTAAACATTTCATGTTTGTTCATGCTTGGATTCAAACATCCAGACAGGGCAGGCAAAAGTATATCTGACTGAAAACCACTAACCACCGTATTCAAAGATCATTAACTGAGTCCAGGGGGGGAAGTTTGGATGTAATGTTTATGTTCAGTTTATGTGGTGCATCATCACTGAGGGAAGCCTGTGTACAATTATCTGTTAAAACCAAAAGAAACTCTGAAAACTGACACGTAGCTGCCACAGTAAGAAGAAAGTATTCTCACGTCTCATTATAATGAGTTGTTGTGTTGTACATTTGTTTTTAGGAGGCAGATTTCTCTCAGTATATTGAACGTCTTATAGTAGATTTTATCTCAATTAAAAGGTATCTCAGAAAATACTTCTACAGCAGAAAAACAAAAATTGAAAGTACATTTATATAATATATAAAAATGCATTTATGTATTTAATAATTTGGAACCAGTGTAGCTAAAATTGAAAGGTAAGCTGTGGACTACATTCGTATTTTTTTTTTTTTTTTCCCTAAACTGAAAAATTCCTACTGTGTTCTGAACAGCTTTGGTGACTTTTGATTTTCTTGATAATTTATTTTTTAACTGAACAGAAATATTTTTTTTTTCTAACAATGAATGATCTGTGTGGCTTAAGTAGAAGTAAAGATGGATATGAGGTGAAATAGTGCTCCTCCAATATTTTCGTCACCTTCAACATTTAGACCAAGATAAAGGCCTATCACTTTGAGGCGAAGGTGAATGACTGCAAGCCATTTATTTGCACGTTCTCTTTCAGGAGTTGGACATTATTTTTTGGGGGCAATGACTTTTCTTTCAGAGCATGTCAGCAGTGTGCCTGCCTCCATTTAACTCAAAGGTTTTAATTATTAAAGGGCTCTGTGAAAACTGCCAGCGTTGATAAGTATGCAGTCAGACTGAGTCTCAAATTTTAAGGAAGTCATTGGAAGGGAGTTGTATCTCACACATAGCAGACTAATCATGCCACAATATTGTTTTTATGAAAATCGGTGCATCTGCTGTTATTACTGGATGCTGCAAGCTTACCACACAGCACAAACTGTAGTGCTGAACTTACTTGAATTCATCTGAAGGACCGTTTCTTTTTTTGCTGTCTTGGCCAAACACTGTGGCCTAATTAAAGAAATAATATTCCTTTATATTATGTGTGCATTGTTGAATAATTTTGTACTGCTGTAACTGTATGCTGCACTATGACAGAGGGAGGATTACACACTGTAAAGAAGGAAAAATCAAGAATCCAAGATTTTATGAATAAAGCAAACTTTGGCTGCTCTGAGCAAAACACACACATGCTTGTTTTTCTCAGTATAAATCAAACTGTTTATTCATGTGAAGTCACCCCAAGTGCGTGATTCAAAGTCGATATTATCACAGAGAGTTGGGTGTCAGGAATGCACTGCAGAGGACAGTTGTGAAATAACCCTGTGCCAAAAACAGGCAGAGAACACTCAAACACACCGTGTGGTTTAATGTAGACCTGTGTCAGTTACTGTGTCGCTGCGTTGAGTGTCACCACTGAGTGTAGCATGTCGCCCCCATCGTATCACACAAAGTATCTTGTATAAAATCCATCAGTTTTAAAATTAATTCTGGATCTGATCCAAGACAGTTAATGAAAACCTAAAAATGACCACTGATTGCATCGTACAGATTTACAGGGATGATTGCGAGCTGGATATAAAACCTGATAAAAGTTTTTCTCATTATCAGACTGTTGATCATGGCAAAGGTACAATTTCTAATTGTTAAACAGAAAAAAGTCAGCTTGGTACCTAATGCAGATCTGCATCATTATAAGAACAAATTAAAGTTTAACAGAGTTTTTCAAAGCATCGCTGCTCTACAGTCATCGTATTATGCTGCTGGGATGCGTACCAAGGCCAGTACCTAAAGGTATACTTAAGCAGAATATTGTCCAACACTGAAAATGTACTGTATTTGTCTTTCATATGTTGGAAATGAGTCCAAAATGTACCACATATTGAGAAAGCACTGTGTCCTAGTTAATGCCCTTTAAAAAAAAAAGCAACAGAAACAAAAAAGAAATGTATAAATGAGCACAACCAGCATTCTTAGACAAACGTCAAAGCATAACGACTCAACCAATGAGGTCAAGCCTCGCACACAGGAATAATCCATGTATCATACATTGTTTTAGATATATTTAGAAATATAAAATGATTACAAAACAAAATTAAAGTACCATGACTTGAGTGGCTGTATTGCATAAGAAGAATGTCATTGTGCCAAGTGTCTGTTGTTTTTGGAGTTGTGTTGACGTTTCCAGCTGAGCGCCAGCGCAGTGACGGGGGGGGGGGGCATGAATGTACAGACGAACTCCCAGATAATCTGCAGCATTTGTACAGTCAACAGCCATTTGGGAGCGGTTCCACAACCACAACTGTAGTTTTCCACAGGTTCATGTTTCATTTGGATGTAGAGGGCACGGCCACAGAGGAAAAATATAATGTATTAAATCTGTGTTATAGGAATAAGTGCGTGGAAGCACAGGTCAGAGCTCACCATACACACACACACCTCTTATTTCAGACACACACACTCACACATATATTTACACATTCACACGTTCTAGTTGCACTCCAGCGAATGCACACACTCTACTGCTCCGTCTGGCTGAAGTCGTAGCAGAAGTTGTAGTTGCTCGGTGGTTTGGGGACGACTGGTGCTCTGTCGGGGATGGGGACGTTCTCAAGGTCCAGGAGGCGTAGCTTAATCTCCATAGAGAGCAGGATATCCAGCTCGCTGCGCATGGATTCACTACTCATCTCCCGGCCCAGGAGAACGCTCAGTCCATCTGTCCACAGGCAGAACTGTCAGAGAGAGGAAGCCAGTGAGTGTTCGGTTTATATTCTTACTGTATGTTATAATGCACACAGAAAAGAAGAAGCTGATGAAGAGGAAAATGTTCAGAGACTCACATCAGTTCTAGAGGGGGCGATGAAGTTCAGGCTGTACTCTTCTACGTCATATGTGATGCTAAATGCCAGGTCCAGCACCTCCTGCAGTGAGGCACACGTCCGAAAACACACATATCAACACAGTGAGATGTGAGCATAATAAGTATCATGTGAGAAGACAAGAAGCACTACTGACCTTGTTCTGTTTGCCTTTGTTCTCCTTCATGTGAGGACAGTCTTTTCCCGTCAGCAGGCCTTTGATGTCTGCAACTGGAACTGAAGGAGGAGGAAAGCGGAGAGAAAACGAGTAATAAACAGAGAGGATCAAGTTTATGGAGGATGAAAAATGATTTAAGTATCAATAAATAAATGTATAAATAAATACAGGAATGAATAAATATGGAAGTAAACAAAATAAATGTTGAAATACGTAAAATAATAAAGAAATACATGTTGAAATAAATATGGAAATACATAGATAAATGCATAAATAAAAGCTAATTAAACAGGACATAATTTATTTCTTAATTTTTGTACAACTACATTATTTATTTCTGTGTCTGTATGTTGGGGAAGTAGAAGGTCCTTGTCCCTGTATTTATTTATTTCCATAATTAATTCAGTATTTAATTATTTCTATTTATTATTATTTATTTACTTCTGTGGTCCTAACCTTTGTTTATTTCTTAATTTTTCCACTTTTAAAACTGTATTTCTGTACTTATTTCAGCATGTATTTATTATTTTATTTAGTTTGTATTTATTTATTTGTTAATTATGTAATTTTTCATCTCAGTAGGTTAATTTAATTCAAATAAGTAAATTAGGGCTAAAACTATTTTTTTTTTTTTATCTACGTATCTAAAGACAGAAAAGTTGTAAATCTGCCCAGGCCCATCCCAGCTTCTCACTCTTCTCTTGCAGTGTTTCAATTGGTGGATTGTCCGTGTCCTCTTCCACATCACCGTAGTGAAGCATTTTGTGATTGGGCGACAAGCGACAGTACCACAGTTTATCTGAGAAAACAATCAGAGAGGTTAGACAAAAAAAAAAAAAAACAACACAGTCTAATGTTTGTGTAATGTAAGTGTGTGTGTGTGTGTGTGTGTGTGTGTGTTTTCTCACCCTGTCTGCGACGGCTGCTGATCTTCCTGAACATTGTTCCTTGACACAGCCTGTTGAGTCTCTGCTGGCGGATCAGCTCAAGCAGCTCTGGCTTCAGGCGCTCTTTGAGCTCACTGGAAAGAAAAACACACAAACACATGCTCAACAAAATGCTTTGGAATGCTTCGTCACAAGATATTAGCATCTCACGATCCTGAACACAAGACATAAAAGGCAAAATAAAACACATCACTAGCCAGGACAATCGTCAGAACTCATACAACAGCATTCTTCATCATTAATTTGAAGGGAAATCAAACGGGGATTCACAGCATGGACAGCACTTTTGCAGACAGTAAGTCCAGCCTGCATGAATGACCCCTCAATGTGACAGCAACACACTGCTACACTCAGTGTTTAGTGACAAACAGTAGCATGATAAAGAACAGTACGGCTGTTGACCTGTCAGCTGCTTCCATAGGGGTGGAAACTATCTAGAGTCATCAATAAAGTAGCTGATTGGGTTGTGCTATTGAGCCTGTGTTGCTTTACTTTTTCTACATTTTATAAAACAACTTAAATGACATAAATCTGAACCTGTTTACTGTCATTTGATCTGGGACCATGGAGCCAAAATAGCTGCTGTGAGAAAATAAAACATCCACATGAATAACCAAACTCTGAACCTTCATCAAGGGGAGGTATCTAGTCTGTTAACATCCTTCTACTCACAGTACGGGTGGAGCAAGAGTCTCCTCTTGGTGCAGCCGTTCTGTCTGCCGCAGTTTGAGGATCTCGCTGTAGTTGAGGGCATTGACTTTGTTCTTGAAGAGCTCAAGGGAGGTCGGCTTACTGGACAGCGTCCTGGTGATCTGCTCCCTCACCACCTGCATCACCTAGGGACAGAGACACATAGACAGAGAGAGGTTACACACTATACAGTGCCTTTGACCTTTAGAAGTCTGGTGTGTGCAGAAAGTGTGCAGACAGCAACCAGCTGAATCTTCTCCTGTGAGCGATAAAGCTAATAGCCCTGTCTGGAGTCAGTGTTTGGTTTGTCTGTAATGCGCTACTGTAGAACAATTTGGCTCTGTCTAAGAGATTTGCCCCATATGTAGATATAAACAGCTCATTCTAAGATAATAAAAATGAAACAGTTATTATTTACAGGTGATTATACAATAATGAAAACATAGGCATGAACATTATTTTCAATTTTGGTAAATATATGCCCCTAAATCCTTCACACTGAGCCTTCAAAACCCACATGAGGAAGTTTTTTCTGATTTCTGAACTAGCCCAGAACACGGCTCATGGACTGATAAGTGCAGCTTGGCGGCTGCTGAATCAACCTCATGTCCTCTCCTCCACTCTTTCATTCACTACTCCTTCTAAGCCACACCCCTTGGATTCATTCATGTATTATCCCGCCTTTCTCTATTATCAGTTTAAAGTTAAAGATTCCCTCCTGGTGCACAGTGTCCAATCACATGACCCACCCAGGGGCCAGCCATTGATCAGTGCGCTCTTTATTAACCCAATTATCTGCAACATCCACCCAACACCCTCATAACAACCATGCTGAATTAGTACAATCAATGATGGACAAACTGGGTAGTTATTTTACTGAACGAATACAGGGTCCATTCTTATATATCTGTTCTCCCTGTCTGTTTTTAACATGCTGTATTTGATCATTTTTATGTAACCTTGTAATGGTGTACAATCTTGACCAGGTCTCCCTTGAAAAATAAGTTGGAATCTCAAGGGACTTCCTGGTTTAATTAAGGTTTAATAAAATAAATTTTAAAAATTGTGCTTGAAAAATTGAACACATTTAATTTAAAAACAAATAACTAGAGCACTCGGAGAGTGCAGACCTCCGCCAAGCAGCTTGGATTTCCTGCCATTTTATTATTTTATCCACTTCGCTTCAACCGATCACCACCAAAATTTTATCATCTGTTCCTTGTCCCATTATCAACCTTTTCCTGAATTTCATCAAAATCTGTTCAGAACTTTTCGAGTTATTTTGCAGACAAACAGACAAACAGACCAACGCCGGCGAAAACATAACCTCCTTGGCGGAGGTAATAACAAGTCCCTGCAGACAGAGCCGCTGTAGCACTGACTCAGCGTTTGGCAGACCCATGTGATTGTGTGTGTTCTGCATGACTTGTTAAACTGACGCTCACACAGAGGGACAGTGGGTGACCCCGGGTGCCTTGAAAGATCTTAGGGCAGTTGGTCAAACAGTGCATATGTGTATAATCTATAGTTCCTTTCAGTATACGTGCCTCAGTTGGAAAATCTATATAAAAATCTATAGTGCCTACGAGACCAAGCTAACTCCAGCACTATTTGATCCAGCTCTCGCTTCTCTGACACACACTCTGCTGACCTAGATCATTCCTGTTCACACCCAATTTGACTGATTGTGAACAATCAGTGACTAAAGTGTAATTTGACCCATTCAGTGCAGCTCTGTCCAGACATTTCTCTCCATCACAGTGATGTGCTATTATACAAATAACTATTTGCTACAACAAAGTATCTGATAACAAGTAATTCACTCACATTAAATTAAAGGAAAAGCAGAGAGCTTAATCTCATTACAATCTGACAGCGCTTGTTACCATCCTACAAAGGTTTTTAATGTGAGCGAACTGCTTAGGACCACAGAGAATGACCGAGTCTATCCGTCTGGCAGCAGTGGACGTACAGATGGTGGAATCCAGACTGTCATTTTATATTGTGTGAACATGCAGGGACACAAAACAAGCGACTCGAGTTTCACCCTGCACAGCCCCCCAAGCCAAAATAACCACACTGGCCAGCCACTTTCACATGACACATGCCTCAGACAGCCACTTCACACTGTTGTGTCATCTTAACTCACAGCTATTAATTATTTCTGTTGTCAAGTCTCACCTTTTTAACAGCGGAGACTTGGAACTTGGATGAAAATTGACTTTGTGTCTACACCTGGAACATTTGATATCGACTGCCCGATTAAATAATCAATAAAGAACAAACCACACACTTCTTAATGCACATTCCAACCAAGAAATAACACTAAAAACAGCCTTACCTCCATCTTTTTTTCCTTCAGGGCAGACTATTTTGATAAATATTTCAATCCCAACTTTGAATTCCACCCGTCGCCAACAATCAGAGCAAAGTGACAGGTATGACAAGTGGTGAAAGAGAGGGAGAGAGAGACACAGATCACCTACATGACAGGAGAGGTGCAGGCCTGTGAGTGTTTTGTAAACAGACACCCTGATACTCTCATACACTACACACCCCTCCTGTCCAGCCCCTCTGTCATTTAGCTGAACCAGCCAATAGGAGCAATGACTGGCAGTTGTGTCTGTTCCCTAAAACCCCTCAGCATGTGCATGCTAAATGAGTGTGTGTGTGTGTGTGTGTGTGTGTGTGTGTAGGATGACCGTTATGACAGGGGGTGTATAGAGCTACAGGAATACGTTCACATGATTGGATGGAGAGAGTGTGTGTGTGTGGCGCAGTATTACTCACACAAACACCAATACATCCAATGCATTCCTTAAGTAACAAAACCCAGATTTATGACTTCACATCTACCACCACCACCTCTCTTTTTCTTTAGTTTCTCTTCCACTCTGCTCCCTGCAGTCCGGCCCTCTGATTCTCTCCCTCTCGTACTGTTTCCATAGGTTTTACGTTCCCTCTGTTGTTGTGTAATTACTGCTCATGCCCTGGGCGCTTTGTTTTCCTTGTTTCCTTCTCCCTCTGTTTCTGCCGCCCCCCACGCTTCTCTTTGTCCACCTAATGCCCCTTTGTCCTTGCCCCAAAGCACCCTGGGTAGGGGGCCGTGGTCAAAAACAAAAGGCCGGCCTGCTGGCCCGGCGCACAGGACACTGGCCCGCTCCTGAAAGGTCAAAGGGTCACTGAGTTTTAGGACTATCATGAGAGCCCTTTGTTGACGCCGGACGGTTGTGTGTGATGTATAAATGCGGCTTGGGACAAAAGCTCTACCACTCTCCTTTTCAGGACAGCTAGATTTTCAATATTTCTCCCAGACAAGACCACGCTGCTGAAAGCTTGGCTCACCCTATTACCATAGTACAAGTGCTACATTATGGTTGTAAGGTCACTGTGTGTTCCTAAATGCAGGGTCACTTCTGTCTGTGGGGGCAGGTTGGAGCAGTTAGCATAAGAATGAACCTAAACAAAGTCATAAAAGTACAAACTTACTCAAATCCACCATAAAAAAACTCTCACTTAAGTTAAACTGTGTGTCTGGAGGAGCTTGCCCTTTTGTTAAATCTGAATTTACATTAAGACCTTCATAGTTGATTAACATAACTCACAGTGGACTTAAATTATCTTGTTAAATGCTTCAACGGCTGTAAAGATGCATGTAAGATGAGACAACTTTCACTCAGAGCTGCCGAGGCTCAGTTGTATACACGACTCATGATGCAGCTGTTCAAGATAATAACCAGCAAATTAAGGATTTAATAATAGAATGAAGTAATCACTGCTGACAAACATCACACATTTAAGAAGTGAAACAGTAGGTGGATACAAGGCAATGACCAGTGCCAACATTATTTCATCATTTATGGAAGTGTATATGTGGGTGGGCCTGTCCGACAGGCAGACACAAACTGGGTCCAATTACTCTTTGGAAAGCACAGCGTTGCTATGTCACGGGATTTGTTTGCAAGATTTGCAGTTTACAAGCCTGTTCTGGCAGTGGTAGGCCTGGATCTGAAACACCCTGTGTCATCTTTTTACACACACAGCAGTCAACATGCTATTGAGCCATGCTAAACCAGCTACTTAACAGTTATTGGTCAATGCAGTGACTGTAATCAGTGGACAATGTTACATAAAGTGTGTTTAGAAACAGAGACAAATTGAGTCATCTGCATTTTAACTCAGCACTCCTCCGGTTGGGCCTTAATTAGATTATCCTGAGTGGACATTAATACAGATATCAGAACACAGATGTGCTTTAACACTGTAAATATCAATATACGTATACTAAATATGTGATAGAGCCAAAAAGCACACCTCTGGATCTTTTAATCTTTTTTTCATCACACCTCACACTGACATGGAATCCTCTCTGACATAGCTTAAACAGTTTTTTCAAAGTGAAAAGAAAGCTGGGTGAGTTTAAAGACAGCCTGCTGGGTCAAAATCCTCCTGCATGGCACAGTAGTTCTTGCTCAGTCTATGAAGACTGCTCTGCCTTTGTACCTTGTCAAAGTCCTCCTGTGTGGCTCTCATCTCCTTCCAGGTCTTGTTGAGCAGCTGAATGCAGACACAGAAAAGCTCCTCCATCAGCCGATCCTGACTGAAGAAGATGGGGTGGTAGTCAGATCCCGTCTCTGAGGCTGTCAACAGGGGAAGGGATGGAGAAGATGGAGAAGAAAAGTTAAACAATACAAGACTATTAGTTGTAGAGTTGGTTTGACCAGAGGTTACAGACAAAGTCACAGCAGCTATACTATAGGTTGGTTCAACTTACGGGGCTCTCCGATACGAAGGATTTCACACAAGATGAGTGTGAGCTGGATGCTGCTCCTGGCAAATGGACACTCGTGTTTGTCTTCCCTACTGCTGTTCTCCAGGACAAACTGGACAGACGCAATTTGTTTAGTAAAAACTAAAAAGTTTTAGTTTGTCGTGAAATGATGCCACTGTCATAGAGCTTACACAGACAACAAGAACACGACAATATGCAGAAACATCTCTACTTTCATGGAGTCTTTTTTTATTTCAAATACAGGACAGCTGAGTTTAATTACATACTACTCAAGAGCAATGACACAATGCTAGCTATGACAGTGCCAAAGTCTGAAAATGTTTTGAGAAATGTTTCCTTGAGCCGTATATAATTTTAAGTGGCGAGCTCTTCATATTATCAAGTTAAAAGCAGATAAATTAAGCTCACCCTGCTGTAGGCATCAGGATAGCGTGTGGCAAAATAAAACATGGTGTCCAAAGCTAGAAGACCAGGAGGCGTTCGCACCAAATCCTGACCAGGGTTACTATTGTTCTGAAATGATCAAAGACAATATTAATCACAGTAATATGAAAAACAAAGCTAATATAACTAAAGTAGGGATAATTATGATTACAGTAAACAGAAATATTATAGACACTTACAGAGAAGCCTAACTTCTTGAACTCTTTGGCGCACAGTGAGCGTCGTCTCTCGTGGCTCAGACTGTTCTCGCTTTCTGTCTCGAATGCTGCCTGCCGCAAACCGTGAAGGATGTCTCTCTGCTCCTGTAGGGGAGGACGCAGAAAAAGGTGGATGTTTACTACAGAGATGGATGTTGAGTGGACATCTTTGAGTGTAATATACAATATTTCAAACTGTTATTTAGTTGAACCTGACAGATAATCAGAATAATAACAAAACAAACAATGGTATTTTAGCACTTTAGTCAACGCCAAGCACATATTCTTCATCTGCTGTATCTGCTTCTTTCCACTTATAATATTCAAAACTGTTTTATAATTTATCAAGGTCGAACAGGACTGGTGATAAATCCTTAAGGGTGTGTGCGCATGGTTAAGGAATCAAAAAACTGAATTGATTTTGAATTAAATAAAAAAATGATGTGTGGGTGTGACAGCAACTTAGAAGAACATGCAGCAGGAGTTTTCACTCTGAGTTTGACTTGTGATCTCATAGTTCACCTGGCTGTAACAGTCCAGAGGTGTCCTCATGCGCGGCTCCAGGTGATTCAAGGTAACGGACTGTAGGACATAGAGGTAGTGCGCCATCTCATCCTGGACTGAACCAGAACTGTGGATGATATTCTGCAACAAATACACAATTTTTCTTCAAAAGGCCAGAGTGTTGCTTTACTTACACTCCTCTACACAACAATGAGGTCTTCATTCATCATGTCATGACTGGGACACAGAAAACTATGTGAAATATAAATAAAAATAAGGAGATAATTTACTTTATAAATGTACTGACGGAGATTCTTCTTATTCAGGAATGCAAACATTTCCTGGAAAACAGAAGACAAGGAACAAGAGAACAAAGTGAGGAGGATAAATAAAATGTTACTGGGCTGCAGTGGCATTTCTCAAACATCAGGTGGCGATATAGCGTTAGCGTGTGGGACTTTGACCTCTGTGACGAAACCATCACTTGCTGGTAAGTTCATCTCTAGCCCTGCCTCGTTTTGTGCAGGACTAATTTGCTGATAAGAAGGGTGGGTTTGTTGACCTACAGTAAAAAGTGAGGAAGTGTGTGTGCGTGTGAGTAACAAAGAGAGTCAGAGAAAAAGGACACGGAGGGCTGAATGAACGAACTGTTTCCGTACAATGAGAGAGGAGCAGGAACAGAACAGAGGGAGAGAAAGCGTCGACTGTGTGCAGAGAAGCTGAGATGAGCAGACAGAATGAGTTAGATGGGTCATTGCCAGCTGTCTGTAAGAAGTGAGGCCCGCAAGATTCTGATTCGCATGTACAATAATGACCTGCTGGAGTAAATAACCACGCTTCACCCCAAGTCACATGCATGCCACTCTCAGCCTGGGATACACAGGATTCCCATCAGTGCATTAATGTACCATCGTAAAGAGTTAAGATGACTGAAAATGAAAAACATCAGCTATGTTTCAGTATGCACAGCGCATACTGATTAACAGCTGTAGACCCCGCTGTCTGGAAGTATCAGACATTCAGGAAGGCCCTGAAACAAACCAAATACCAACTAGTCTGCATGCTTGGAAGTATGAATAGCTATGAGAAGAGGAAGTTGATAAAGTGTGTTAGAAAGTAAGGAACGGACTGCAGCAGCACCTGTCTGTCTGAGGCCCCGGCTGTTTGTAGCAGTGCCATAAGTAGGGCCATGGCTTTGGTCTGTATCTGCTGGTTTGTCCTGAAAGAGGTCAGAGAGGAGAAAAGCAAAAGTGAGACAAACATAATTTAATTATTACACAGCAGAATAAAAAGGTGTGTTTAGGAAGGAAAACAGGCTGAAATTAAAGAATGTTTTAAAGGTTTTGATTGTCAAATCAATACTAACTAACTGTGAAATCTTGATTTGAAACAAAGCGGGGACAGTGGTATTGTCAGCATTAGTTTTTTACATATTTAAAAACTTCCTGTTACAGATACAATGCTGCCACTTATCACCGCCCCACCCTACTGCCTCACTGATGTGTCACTGTCAGAGTTTTTCTCTTTCACTTTGCTGAACAGTACATTCTGAACATGTTGTATGTGATTTATTTTTCATCTGTTCTTTGTTTCCTCCACTATCTGTCACTGACAGAAACTCTGAAATTGGTTTAATCGAGCTCAGGGGTCATCAACTACATTTGTTCAAGGGCCAGAATTTTTCTTAGCAGGCACAGTGAGTGCTGGACTTTCAGAAAGAAAAAATATATGAGTCTATTTAGACCTAACAAGCCTGACATTGTTTAATATAATAAAAATAATTCATAAAAATAATTCAATAACTAAAATAAATAAAACCAGATGTTTAATAAGAGTTTGTCCCCATTCTTGCATTAACATATTTGCCTGGGTCCAGACCTTTGAATGTGTCCACTCCACCTAACTCACTGGGACTGAGGGCTGTGGCGCATGTGCATTTTCGACAGAGAGAGAAAGAGGGGAAGAGAAGTTGGAAAGTCAATTATTGCACGCGATGTTTCTGGAAGTTAAGCTATTAATACCTTACTCTGAACGCTGACTGTGTCACTTTTGACTCACCACTTGCACTCCCTAATAAGCTGACAGATGGAATTATAACATCTTTAGTACCTGCAGGTAGAATGCACATAAATGGAGCTTTTGGTAAATCAGTCCTGATACAACTTTTTCCATCTTAATTTTTTTGGAGGTTGCTCCAATATAGGAGGGAAAAAATACCAAATAATAACAGATTTTTTTCCTCCTCACATTTTCTGAATTGAGTAATATTCTGCAGGCTGGATGGGAGGATTTGACGGGCTGTGACTGGCGGCCGCCAGTGACGATCACTGATCTAGAAGAACAGCACCCTCTGTGTTCGATAAAGCACACAGAAACACAAAAGATATTCTCTTATTGTAAACTGCAATGGGTACGTTAACAGATGCTGCCAGTTTTGTCAGTGATGTTCTCAGCTTTTAATTACGCTCATGTCTAAGAGTCAGTGTAATAACTTTGATGGGAAAATCAAATTTATGATTGGCTTCTTCGGTTGTTTTCACACCTGGAGTTCAGTTTGTTTGGTCCAGACCAAAGAATAAAATAAAACATTGTTGCATCTTAGTTCTGCTGTTCACGTTGACTTTTTCAAATGAACCAAGAGGAATAAACATTTTGGCGATTGTGATCAATGCATCGTCAGGACCCAAGTAGGGAAATCAAATTCCTGTGACTGACAGGAGTTTAGCAGCATTTTAACACTTATGATTTGTATATTTATGCTGTGAAATCACTGTCAAATACTCTTTATTGGACTTAATGAGATAGAAAAAATTCTAGCAATTTTTTAGTTAAGCTTTGAAATCACGCCAAAAATCACACATGCCATCACAGAATCCTGTGGTTGGTTGAATTTCTTTCACACCACAAGCAAACTGCACCAGAGTCTGCTTGACAGTGGACTGAGACCCAACTTTTCAGGTGGCCTCGGCTTGGTTGTTTGGTCCTCACCTTGGTTTGACTGACAGTTTTCATACCAGCTCAGATGAACTGCACCAACCAGGCAAACGGACCTGAGTTCATTTTAAATGAAGCAAGCAGGTTGGGTGTGAAAGAAGCCAGTCCATATCAATCGGCAACTTACACCTGGAGGTGAGTGATGAGCCTCTCCATGGTGACCTCCTGTTTGACCTGCAGGAAGAGGCTGTGGCTGCTCAGCACCATGTTCTCCAGGATGTCCAGGGACACCTGCTGTATTGATGCGTCAGTTGGCTTGGCATTGACGAAGCTGGCGATCTGAAAGGAGAGAAAGGAGGAGGGGAAGGAGAGAAGAAAGAATAGTTAGAAAGAGTACAGCTACTGACAGTGAAAAACAAATCTGCGACAAAACAAGAGATAGAGAGCAGCAGATACAGCACCTTCTTGATGAAGACAGACGAGAGGTTCTCCCATGAAACTATCCCATGATCCATCAGTTCCATGAAGGCTGTCAGTGTGTGGGTCATGATCATGTTACTCCTGAGTGATACAGACATACAAAGAAATATTATGCACTCACACACGCATTCCATTCAGATGGCCTGTTTGTGTGGAATCCTTTCAGTAAATCAGTTACTGGTTTTAAGTGTAAATATTTATAATAATTCCCTTTAAAACATTTCCATCATGTGATCGGGCTCACTGTGCTGCCCCTACGTACCACAGTGAAGTTTGTCAGTGTTATCTATGATCATGGAAACTGCTCAAAATAAACAAATAGGCTAAAGCTGAAAAAGAGAGTCTGGAACGAATGGGAGGACACATTGCCTGCTGCCGAATACAGTCTAATATTTATATTCAGGAGGTACACTCTTTTTTTCTATACAGGTTTAGCTCAGCAGGATATGCTGCTACAAGAGCAGGACCCACTTCATGCCTCAGCACCACTGATATCTATCTGAGGAACAGCATCCCATCCCAGCCATGGTAAATATGCAAGCACAGACACACACACACACACACACACACACACACACACACTGAGTACTAACTCATTAGAGTCCTCTACTATCTTGACCAATAAGAGGTGTCCGTCTCGGCTGATGAACTCCTGAGCAAAGGTCACGTCTGTGGAAACACTCGCCAGCTCCTTCAGCGCAGCGCAGCGCACGCCTGCGTCCAAACTCTGGATGCCCTTGTACAAGTCCTCTGCACAGCAGCCCTGCATTCATCAGCATCAACAAAACACAAATATTCACACACACACACACACACACACACACACAATACTCAACAATTTTGTCTTTTAATAGTTGATCTTATATCATGTCGCTGCTCTTCTTTGAAATTCAGCTTCTTGTGATGGCAGTGATGGATCAGTGCTGACTTTCTCTATTGTCTGTACATGCAGCTGATTCTGTAAACTGGCTGCATGCTGAATATAAATGAGAGAGTGACGAGCCAGTGACAGAGTGAGAGACAGAGAGCTGGAGGAATGTGAGAAGAGGGAGGTGAAAGAATAGCGTGGCTGAGAGCCTGGTTGATGCAGACTCACCGGTGCCTTGGTCAGACGCAGAATGCAGCCGTTCTTAATGTCCAGACGATTCTATAACACACAAACAAACACACACACACACACACACACACACACACACAAGTATGCAGAGGAAATTAAAGTATTTTAAAATGTTTGAAACTAAAACAAACTGACATATACACTAACAAAGAGACCACAAGGTAGAGAAGGTCAGACACACATGGATTTATATATAAGAATTTTTCACACAGTAACTCAAACACAAGCTCACACTTGGACAAATATAGTCGCCTATAAACTGCAGAAAAAGCTATATAGGACTAATTAGTACTGACACTCTACTTACTGTTGCTAAAAGAGAGAGAAATGTTTAGGATAAAACAGTTTTGTGTGTGAGCTGCAGAAAAATAACAAGCTCTGCACCTCCTTTCCAACAACAGCTTTCTTGGAAGAGAAGCTGCCCTGGACTCCCAAACTCAACCTGCTGATCCAGTATTTCTTCTAATAACATTTATCCACCAGCCTCATTTCTAGGTTTTATCTTATACAGACACAATACAGATTTCTACATAGGAAAAAGACAGATTTAATCTACAACAGATGTAATTCATTTAGGGTTTCTGTCTTATAGCTGAAGCCATTTTTCACACTTGTGTGCAGACTGTGTGGATGTGAATACTGTATTGTATTGTATTGTATGTGTGCATTGCAAACATAGGTGCAAAAGTGTATGAGTATATAAATATGTGTTAAGTATTTGTTTGTGAACAGTGGATGCATTCAAAACTGATTTGACATAATTCACATCTGGGTTGTTGAGCTTGGACATCTGGTCACCAAAATTCCAACAGTCAGTGTCTTTGCTGCCGTGGCTTATGCTGACATTTGCAGTTTTTGTCCACTTCACTCACTTAAGACATATTTCTGTGATCAAATTGCTGTTGAAAGCAGAAAATAATCACATTTCTACCAAGCAGCACCCTCCAGAGCTGGAAATTGAATGACAATGAACAACTGCAGTTCCTCAAACGGCCACTTGAGGTTGGCTCCAAGAGCGAGTCAAACCTCACTGACCTTATGTTACAATAAGGCCCCCAGGAAGTGCGGCAGGCATTGAAGCCAATTTTCATAGTGGCCAAATAGTGGAATTACAACTGCCAGGTCTGTCACGTGATGTCCTGCGGCCAAAAAGACTTTTTCCCATTGACTTACACTGCCAAAGAGACGTCTGTAAATCAGTAGATACATTATTTTGGGCATCACAACTCCTGCGAAATGACTCATGTCACTACCGAGATTTAATCCATTCCGTCCGATAAAATTTGGAGTCTAGAAGAGCCACAACAGTAAATTATTTGCGCTAAACCAGAAAGATAGACAGCTCAGCCTGCGTAGGTCTCTAGTGCGTCTGTTCTATGGGCCACAAAGTGCGGAACCAGTGCCTGATCATCCAGGTAAATTTATTCTAGTCAGGTGAACCATTTTGGCTTCATGCACAACTGAGTAACTTTTATAGATATGAATGGGGCCCCACCCGACAATGCTGTATCCAGGTCTCTTTATACATCCATGATGACCGACTTCACAGCAGAAATATAGGCTACATGTTTACAGCCTGGTACAAAAAAGGTTTTGGTCTCTATGGCTAATTTCAGCATTTATGACAACTGTGTGGGAAGTGATTCTTTATTTAACTTACCCGTTTTAATGTTACTAAGGCTAAGTATCAAAGGGTATAGTTGCAACCATTGATGAAAGTCCATTGTAACATTTTGGTCACCTGAAAGAAGTCTTGTTCAGTGTTTGGTTGAAAGTAAAAAGAAAAGAATATCTAAGGAGTCGGATGTTCTGTTATTCCTGGAAGTACATTTTGTTTTTATGGTTTTTAAGCCTGTTTTCCACTAGCATAAATTTGCATTAGCATTAATACAGTTAACATGGATTGTAAATGCACCTTGCTAACCCAGCTAGCAGCCAGCATTAGGGTTAGCTCCCCCCTTTCAACAAAATATGGTCACTTCTAGCTCCAAAAACCCAAGATGCCAAACTCAAGGCTTCAAAATGGGAGTCTGCAAACCAACAGGTGACATCACAGTGGCTACATCCATTATTTTAAAGAGTCTTTGGTTTCTATATTGTATGCAATCAAGCCGAGTATTCCCCTGAGTCATTGAGAAGCTGCTCTTTGACTGAAACATCTGCCTTTAACTGCAAACTCACCAACTTCAAAGTCTGGAAGTCAGCCTGCCTGTACCAACTGAAGGAGTGCTAAAAGCAAAAGCCTGCTGTGTGTTTCACACTCTAAACAGCAGCACACTTATGACAGCCTCACTGCAGTGTTATTACAGTAAATAAAGTGTCTTTCTTGGCATCTATCCGATAGCATCGTAATGGATTCTGCAGCCGGGCCCTGAGCCTAAAGAAGGGGAGGGCCTTCAGTGGTAACCCTTTTAAAAGGTCACTTGACACCAAGAAGCTGAGTGTGCTTCCAGCTGTTTTTGTATTTTTCTTTTTCTCCTTCTGCCCTTTGCTTTTTCAGTCTGCCTCACACTCATTTTTAATAGCACTGATCACACTGTGTGACCTGGACTTCAACTTAGATTCAAGGGAAATACTCAGACGAGCGGATAGAGGTCACAAAGTGCTGACAAAGTTGCGATTCTCTGATTCATTGCTGTGCTTTGACATCTTAAAAAGAGACTTACAGCAGTTCTCGTCTCAAACATAGAAAGATCTGAAGGGCTGACTCAGGTCTGCTCCTCAATGTCTTCAAGATGTGCTCAGCATTTACTGGAAGATCCCCTGGTGTAGATAAATATTTGTATTGATTTGAACATACAGTGGATGTGACTCACCGATTCAGTGATGTATGTCTGCACTCCATCGGCATACTGCAGAGCATGGGTTTCGGGACCTGAGAGATTCCAGCTACACACACACACACACACACACACAGATGATGAAATAACCACCAGACCACACTGGTAATGTCCAGAACGCGTTGAGACAAATAAACAAATCTGACTAACCATCAACTTACCCATCACACACTTCCTTTATTACAGCAGACAGAGGCTTTTTCTGCACAGAGACACAACAAAACAGCATGTAGTCAGATACATACGAATGCAATACATTCACACAACATTAAAAACCCACACCTGCTGCATTCATGTGAGTCACAACAACACAACTCTACTATCAAAGTATTTTTTTTCTGTCAGGGAGCTGCTTCAGTAATTACACACTGTTATGGGATCACAGTACCACAGCTATTCCTTCTGGCTGCAAACCCTGTTTGCTGTGAGAGGAAATCCAAGAGCTCCCCAACGCTCTCTGAACAATATTACCCTCAGTGCCCAGATCTCTCTTTGTACGTAAATAAAAGCCAGACTACTTCCATGTCTGACTCTCAGCTATCCTGCTATTAGTGGTCAGCCCCGCGGTCAACCAATCAAAATGTCTTCGGGTTCTGTGGTAGACCCAGTGGCTGCTCTGTTATTAGTGGCAGCCAAGAAGGTCGACCAATCGGATGTGTGTCGTGGAGACAGCTGAGCCAATGAGATATTTTTGAGGGATTGTTTGAGACTGCCAGGTTTGGTTGTGATGTAAAATGAACACGTTTGGAGAAGCGAATGGATATTGTTGTCCAACTCAACACTCCTCAAAGTCCAATTGTTGTGTTGCTCTTATAATCACAACAAAAAAATCATGAAAATATTGATTGAAGTATTGGGGGAAAAGTGTGTGGACCTGGGATCTGTGTTCATCCTACTTTCTGTTGTGCTGCATTTTCCAACTCTTAAAATAACCACAGTCGAGTGTGTACCTGTTAAATCCATTCTCTCTCTGTTCAAACCTTCTCAAGTGATGTACAGCATGTGATTGTGTAACACACACACCCTGCTGTCTGGGATACAGCTTGAACAACTACTCATGCGTGGTGTCTTGCGCAAAGAAGTACAACTTCCCCAAAGTTTCTGGGAAACACTTGGAAAACTTCCCCACAATCACTTTTAGTGGAAACTGAAGAAACAAAACCACTGGATGAAAAAGAAAAACCCTAACGTGTTCAATATTCTATTGATTCACATGACAATCATGGGAATAAATTGTGTAAGATAAATAAATTAACCAAAAATTTGAAAAAACAAATGAGGAAATTATCAAAACTCAACTCATTGCTGAAGCCTTAGCCCAACATGGATGCTTATTCTATCTACCTAGCTAGCTAACTAGCTTGGCCGGCTTGTGAGCGTTGATATTAAACAGCATTCAGAGTGTTAGCAGTGTTTGCTCGCTCCTGTTGACTAGAGCAACCACAGAGAGAGTGCATGTCTTTTTTTAAATCTTCACAGAGTTGAGTTTCGTTTACCGAGGAACATCTTAAGCATCCAAACCCTGCTATGGTGACTGTAATGTTAGCTACTGCCACAAACACTGTCTCATCACCAAGCTCGTAACTCCATCTAGCTAGTTAGCCAGCTAGATAGATAGCATGTGCAGTCTTGTCAAGCTAAATACTGTAAATAGCAGCAGCCCCTACTTGGTTAAAAATATTTCAACATTGTTCTTGTCATAGTTAGAAGAAGTTAAATCTGCAGGCAGGTATTGAGTTAGCTTGCTTAAGAGACAGGTGGCCTGTGATTGGCTTGTCAATGTGCAATAAAAGTGACATAAAACAAAAATGAACTGTAAAACTCTGGTCTGTTATTACGAAAATAAGACTGATGAAATGACCTATCATAATAATGAGTTGAGTATGAATCATTTCTTTAGGTAATTTCACAAAATATTGTTTCAAATATAAAGGCTATTTTACACAATTTAATCTTATTTACTTATTATACGCCTGCGTATTTATATATTTAAAATTGAACATTTTAGGGCTCCGCAAATGGGTGATTAAAAAGCAGCAGGGGGAGTGAAAAAAAATAATATGTTAAAAAGGGGACTCTAACTAAACCTGACAGTGACATCAGAGACAATTATTATAATCACCAGACTTGGCAGCGACTAAGGCTATTTTAAATATGTCATGCTGCAGCAGCTGTATCAAACCACACTTGTAAGGAAGTGGGGATTATCACTCTCTGTTGGCACACACACCACCCAGACATGTTATAGCACTAACATCATCTCCTCTTTCGGTTTTCAATGTTACAACAATAACCTCAGCATTTGAGTTGTAACATTAGTGTTAAACTTCGTTCCAATCACTCAGAATGTAGCAAAAGATTTGTTTAGACAAAAAGGTCCCCAAAACCATTGTTTGAATTTGGTCAGTGCCTCTGTTCTTTTCCAAAACAATACATTAAATCTTTTCACGTAAGTAAGTGCATAATGTAGGTTGGAATTTTTTACCTGACAAACACGACTGCACATTAGTGTATATGCAATACAAAGTTAAAATTGATCAGTATACAGTGTATGCTCATTGAAATACATCACCCAACTTGCAGTTAATGCTACTGCATGGGGGGAAAAAACTAATAACCAAGCCAGAGTCATCATTTTGATCTGAATTTAGCCTCTCAGACACTGCTGCTTCCCATTTTGCAAACCATCTCTATCAAGCTCCTCCAAAAAAGTAGTTAGGGTTAGGTTTAACTGATGAGTGCTAGCTGTATGGAGGCACTCAGACAAGCAGTCTTGTGGTCAGAGATCAACTTAGGAGGTGGCAGCTTGAGCAGCAGCACGTGAAACAAAAGTATTTCAAGACACAGAACAATACCTAAAAATAAACCTCAGACAGACTACAACACTTGTGTGTGTCTCAGCTTGAAGTGACATGTCAGTGAATAAGGCTCTGGTGTGTAGTGATAGACTGATGATCATCACCAAACTGAAAAGTTTTAAGATACAGCTGTGGCCCAAAGTGCTGCTGCAAAAATTTTTCTAACTAGCCCCACAAAGTTCTCAGATCACAGAGCACCTGAGCTAACATTCACGCCCTGGTATCACTACCTGTTAAACTCACATTAACTTCTGTCATATATCTGAACATCCTTTCAGGGTTAGGGTTGAGGTCACTGCTGTGGTGTTTGAGTTGAACACGATCAGCAAGGTGGTTGAAGAGGAAGTGCAACCCAAAGAAGCTCAACTAAGGGCAAGAAATTCTCATGGTGGTTCACTATCAGAGCATAGAGCAGCTAACTAGAGCAAAAAGAACAGGCTGACACCCAAGGCTCTATAATAATATACCATTTTGAAGTGTTTGTGTGTGCTTTACCTGGTCCAGTTGTATGAGCTGGGGGTAGGCCCCAGGCATCTGGATGGCTATCTTCACTATGTCCTTTTGTTGAGGCATGTTGGCACCTCTTCACTCCACCACTCTCTGGCTGTTGATAATAAAAGAGATAGAAGTGTTAAAATAGAGTACCTCATCTCACGTCACATACAATATTTTCCTTGAAGAAGTTTTTCACTGCTCGAAAAATGGTAAATGTCATAAAACAAGGCACAAATATATACCAGAGAAAACAGAGAAAAAGGGCTGTGGCATTTGCTTTTGCTCAAGAGGCAGAAAACCTACAACCACTAGAATGCACTTTGCCGCACTGTAAACAGAAGCACTTCTGCTAGTGGATGACTTAATGCAAGCTTGTCCATTTTTTCACAGGAAACAATATGGCTACCAGCTGGTAAAAACTATCTTGAATTACAGTTGAACAGTGCACTAAAATATGTTTCTAAAACATTTTAGGTGAGAAACAGGCAACACAGTAACAGATGCTCATATTTTGTCAGCACTGCCTAGTTTTACCATTTGATCTCAGTTTTTTCAGCCTCTATTTTTACAATACAGGAAACAGTACGGTGACCGCTTCCTGTTCACAAATTCTCATATTACAACCAAATAGTGCACTAAACTATGTTTCTGGAGACATTTTAGGTGGGAAATAGGCAACACAGTAACAGAATCTTGGTTCACAGATCTCAGTTTTTTCAACCTCTGTTTTTTACAACACCGGAAACAGTATGGCACCCACTTCCTGTTCACAAATTCTTGTATTACAGCCAAACAGTGCACTAAAATATGTTTCTGGAGACATAGGTAATACAGTAACAGAATCTTGGTTTGTATTTGGTCAGCACTGCCTAGTTTTACTGTTTGGTCTGAGTTCGGTCTGACTTTGACAGGAGTCTCTCTCTCTCTCGATCCACTTCTATACTCTTTGTGTCCGCGTTGGCTGGCATACGAAAATATGGAAGTACAATCTGTATTTCAAGCAACAGCCATAGAGCCAGCAAAAATCGATTTGAGCTGAGAGATGAGCAGGGAGATCTGGGTGCTGGTAAGACAGAGGGAAGTTTAATCAATGTAACCCTTGAATCAGCGTGTCATGATCTTTGCCACCTGGGGGGTGTACCAGAAGGACCTGTAATAAACAATGAGTAAAGACAAATAAAACCAGTGAACAAACCAAATAAGGTTTACTGTCCTGTTTCAACAAAGTGAAAACTTAGGTAAAAAAATGCAGGCCTAGTCTTAACTTGGGCAAAAGAAAAACTGAAGAGTCATTCTGTTCAGTTCAAAGATTTTAGTTTTGACATTAGAAACGCTTCTCGTGGGCCGTTGCTGTAGTGTCAAACTGAATATTAAAGCAGTGATTTCAAAACATGATAACGTGAAGGCTAATCGACCTGAAAGCAGTCTCTCTGTAAGGTGGACCCCGAGCCCAGTTGTTTCATGAATGACTCATGCGACTATCATTTTCAATATGAAGTTGTAGAACACTGAGTTCCTCTTTCAAAGTGTATTTACAGTGCACTGAGTAAAGCTGAGAGGCATAAACACTGTCTAAACACGCACTATAAACCGTTCACTCCTTCCTCCCTTTCCAGTTCACTCACACATCACCATACACACTTCCTCCTCAGCCTTCAGACAGCATTCCCAGAGGATACAGAAGAAGCAGTTGTGCTTCCAACCCTCCCCCCTCCCGTGCCCTTCTCCGTCTCTCTCCCTCGCTCTCAGCACATGGAAACAATACAGTTGGACCTAAATTCTTCTGTACATTCATGAGCTCTCGCTGAAAGAAAATAGGTTGAGCTTGTGCCTGCTTGTGTTCAGTGTGATTAATAACCCCCACCCTCTGCTTCATCTCTTGGATAGTTCACATACCATCACTCTAGTCTGAAAAAAGAGCGCTCACAGTTTATGGCAGGTTTCAAAGCAAAGGGCCTTCTCCTGTCAAAACAACCACACGCCTTCAGTGTCTACTCACCTCATTCGCCCTGAGGCAGCAATTTTCCTGATAAAGAAGGTCTTTAAAGGAAGAATGAAAACGGGGTGGACTATCCTTCTACGGCAGCATCGGCCAAGGCTGTAGTTCTGCTGATTTTCACAAGAATATGCAAATACAATCACATCAGGTTTGTTTTTGGATAACTTACATGGACTAAACGGCAATGGAACCCTGAGGCGCTGAAATCATTACACTGGCGCTGGTGCTGAAGGTCAACTTCCCTCCAACAAATAACAGCAGGAGTTTGCAACCTTAATCTCAAAGAGATTTGGACGTGAATGTAGATTTGTTCTGGGGCGGCTTATGAGTCAGCAAATTCAAGGCCAAACTCGGGGTAATGGCATGTCATGTCTCTGCAGCAACAAAGACTGCCTGTGGGTTTTAAGATGAGTATCTGTCTGAGCTGTATAATGATGAATGTGAAACCAGGAACACAAAATATTGCTTTGGTTGCACTACAAAGAGTGAAAGGAGAGGCAGCTTTGTTTTGTTAAAACAATTCCTCACAGGTGGGTATTATTATTGAAATGTACACTGTAAAACTCATGGCTTTTACGACAGTTGCATGTTAGGATGTTGTATTGGGAATGAAGTGATTTGGTGATCTGTATGAGTCTGACTCTTACAACTTATTAAAACCATTGTCGAAAAGGCTGGAAAACTGAACACTGAAGCAAATTCTATTGGTCGTTCTGTTAGGCCTCCACCACTCTGGTCCAGACTGAAATATCTCAAAATCTACTAGATGGACTGTACATTTTTTGCACACTTAACAAAAAATTAAATGCAACAATTTTTTTTAACCATACGTCACAGGTTTAAGACTTTTTCATGCACTCAATATTTCTCTCAAATTTGTTTAAATCACTGTCAGTGAGCACTTCTCCATTTCCAAGATAATCCATCCATTTTTTAGGTTGTGCAAATCAACTGCTGCATCAGCCGTTCATGTGGCTGGTCTAAGATGATCTTGCAGGTGAAGACACTGGATGTGGAGGTCCCGAGCTGGTGTGGCTACATGTGGTCTGTGGTTGTGAGGCTGGTTGGATGTACTTGTTGCCAAACTCACTGACAAGACATTAAAGACGGCTTGTGATTGTGAAAAAAACACTTGGTTCACGGGCAGCAGCTCTGCTGGACATTCCTGCAGTCAGCATGCCAATGGCACACTCCCCCAACACTTGTGACATATGTGTCATTGTGTTGTGTGACCAAACTGCACATTTTAGAGCGGCCTCTTATTGTGACCATCCAAAGGCACAAAGGCACATATGTATAGTAATGCTGTTGTTTAATCAGCATCTTGATATGTCACACCTGTCAGGTGGATGGATTATCTTGGAAAAGGAGAAGTTCTCACAAACATTTAGGAGAAATCTACCTACTGCATGCAAAAAACCCCTCTTAGATCAGATCTAGAGAAATGAGTCAAAGATCTCTTTAACTTAAACCTGTGAAACATGAGAGCAAAACAACATTCATGGTTTGCAGATAATAATAAGGGTTGACATTTTAATTTGTCCAATACTTTGGTTTATGACAAAATGCTACTAATAGGCAAATGTTATCATGCTAACAGATTCACTTGAGGTGGCAAACATGGTAAACATACTTGCTAAACATAACTTACATAATTACACTTTATTGTGAGAATGTTAGCATGCTAGCTAGCTTGAAGTACCGCTATGCCTTAATGCAGCCTCTCAGAGATGTGAGCATGGCTGTAGACTCTTAGCGTTGTTGTCCTAAACTAGAACTTTGATTGTTATTTATTTGGTTATAAATATTAGGAAACATGTTATTGTGAAGTTTTTAACTAAATAACGTGATTTCTCAACAATGTTTTCGTGCATGACTATTGGTGCTTTCAGATGAGGTTTACAGAGACATTACTGCTGAATTTACACAACTTCTATCGAGTCTAATAATTTACGAAAATTGTCTTGAAAAACAGGAACAATAGCTACTATTCCATGATACTATCATCAGAATTCTAGATCATTTAACGTCTCATATCACACTTTCACTTTCTACAAGAAAGACACTCTGAATACAAGCATAAGTACTGTGTTTCCTGAACTGCAGACTAAACTGAGATGTGTGTATTCACCACACACAGTCTCTAGTGCACTCATTGAATTATATTGTACAGAAATATAACTAATGAAGCCATTAACACTTGCTGAAAAGAACACTTGAGTTAACGTTTGTTCAGAAGGGCAATGGAAAGAGCTAAAAATTCAGTGAAGACTGCCAGCAGCTTGTATTTCACCACCTCACAGTGAAGCACTATTAGTCTACATTCATCGTGACCTGTCTGTACACGCTTCAGGCCTCCTTTAAAGCTGGATACTGCTCGGCCTGCACTCACATTTCCCCTTCATTGCAACAAGAAGACAAATAAACTTAAGATAGTGCTTTGAGCCTCAGCTCATTTACTCGAGTACAAAACAAATCAAGCTCAGAAGGTGTTGAAATCTGGCACATCAAATTGGTTTAATATCGATCTGTAATACTAATGAGATGGCAAATAAGATGTTAAAACATTTAAAACTCGGTCAAAATCATGTCCAGTTTCTTCTAAACAACTACATCATCAGCCAGAATGTAAATAAAAAAGTAATTTAAAAGGTATAGAAACACATTTTTATCATTCCATTCTAAATACTGTCAAACTCACTCTATGAGTGTCAACAGAGAGGATGCTGGTCATTAAAAATGTTAAAACAGTTTGATGTTTCAGTAGAAGGGTGAAGGGAGGTTTTCATCACAGTATTCATAGCAGTTAACCGCTGTAGTGAGTGTGTCTATCCATGTCTGTGCCTGTCGATGCATGTTTGCGATGTCCCCTAAATTAGGTGAGGGGAAGCTGAAACTCCTCCTGTGCTGTCTGTGTCTGTCTGCTTTTACACAGAAGTGAAGTTAAGGTGTCAGTGCACTACTCTATATATAGGTTCAGTTTTCTCAACTGTGAATGTTTGCTGTTTTTCTTAGTTTCTATGATAGTAAATGGAATATATTTCTCGGTTTGGACAAGGCAATGAATCTTGAAGGTGCCACTTTGGGCTCCGGTGGGCATTTTTTCACATTTTCTGACATTTTACAGACCAAACGATAAAACAAATAATCAATTAAATAGCTGTCAGATTAATAAAAACAGAGGGTCTGCAACTAATTATCATTTTCACTATCGATTAATCTGTCATTAATAGTTTGGGATAGTTTGGATTTTTTGAAGTGGGCTTGTATGAGGTACTTACCCATAATCAGTGTATTACATAGAGCAGATGTCAGTTGTCACGCCCCCACTTTGGAGAAGCAAGCTGGAGTCTGACTTGGAAGCTAAGCAATGTATTACTGTGGATGGGGGTCAGCAACAAAACCTAATTTAGCCCCTTAAAACAGCCCCACTTTAAAAAAAAACAAACAAACAACCAAACAAACAAAATAATCAATATCAGTTTAAGTGTCAGTATATTGACCATTTCACCACTCTGCCTTTCCATCAGACATCCCAGTGTGACGGGGAAGCCTTTAACAGCTTCAGTTCCCCATCTATGCTCTTGTCAAAGTCACCAGATTCAACTGACAAGAACAGCAATTTTAGCTCCCTAAAAATGGGAGCTGCTTGTTTACCACTGCCTTAATCACTTAGTTTGTTTGTGTTAATGTGTGACTTTAGTGAATCCGAACCAACCCTTTTAAATGCCAAAGTCACACAATAAAAAAAAAAAAAAACGATAAAACTGTTTGAGGCAGCGGTAGACCACCACCTCCTGTGTCATTCACTGTTTTTCTCAGTGGAGTCTGGCTCTGAAGAGAGCAATATAACAGCTTCATTTTCCAGTTGGAAATCACTGTCTGACCTTTAAGTAAAGCAGTGAAAATATTCTAAATAAAGCATACACTTATACTGACATTCATTTTTTTCAGTGGCTAAAATTTGTTTTGTTGTCGATTCATCCACAGCAGTACATTGCTTAACTTCAATGTCAGACTTCAGCCTGCTACTACTACTGTATGTAATATGCTGTCTATGAATAAGTACCCCATACAACCCTACTTCAAATTATCCCTTTAATATGTAACACGTGTATTTTCTTTATTCTGAGAGAATATAATATAAATTATTACCAAGACACACAGAAGCCTCTTGTTAACAGACTGATAATAACACAGTCATGACCAATTGTTAGTGTAGTAATGTCATTTCTGTGATGGGAAATTATGATAGCTACTGTACAAAGAAACTACATGTAGGCATCAGTGCATAGCTGTCATACTCTAGGCTACCGTAAACAAATGAGAAAATAAAATAGATTGTTTCCCCTCCATGGCAAAACGCCACGACTGGTTTAAAAACCTAGACTTTACAGAAGTGTGATGATTAAAATGTCCACCGTGTCCAGCAGCTGTCAGTGCCCGTACTCCTCTATGAGCACTTTGATTCATTAAGCTTAAAACCACCAGCACGCCCAGACCTTTTGTTAGCCGGCTGACTCACTGGTGTGTCTCAGACCCCCTGGACTGACAGACCCCCTTCTCTCTGTGGAGGTCTGTGAAAGACTGTGTGTGTGTGTGTGTGTGTGTGTGTGTGTGTGTGTGACAGAGTGTGACAGAGTGTGAGAAAGGGGGAAGCTCTCAGCTGCCTGACATTCCTAACCTGACAGGGTACCTCACACACACACACACACACACACACACACACACACACACACACACACAAAACTTAGTTTATCTCAAATGCAGAAATAACAATAGACAAAGACTAACACTGAGCTTCTACTGGGATTATCTTCATCATCATCAAAATGTTCATATAACATACACATTTTTATATAGTATGAAATGTTAACCTATTTATTACAATGATACAGTTGATTTTACACAAATAAATGTAACTTAAGTGCATCTGAACACTGATTTTAACAGTGTCATGTGCTGCTGTGTAAGTGAACCACCAAACTAAGTTGAAGCTAACTGTAACTTAGTTAGAGGTAAACGCATGAATGCAAGCAAAGGTAAAACTGGTCCTACCTCATAACAGATACGACTATTTGCCAGAACTTTGTGAAAAGATAAAGGACAAAGTTGCGAAATGTGAGAATCAGCTGCACAGCTTTTTCTCTGCCTGGTTCCTACCTGGTTTGAAAAGACAAATCGAGTGCTACTGTCCCACAACAACCGCCGCAGTCGGAGCGAGAAACATTTGCAGCTGTCTCTTTCCCCTCAGAAGGCGCTAACTCAGTCCGTAGCAGTGACTTTGCTTAAAGTAACATTTGAACTACTCGGAAAAACAGGGGGAAACTCCTTGCAATAAGTTTTCAGGAATGATTAGTTGACTTAAAAGTTCCGGGTTGGCTGGAGTCGTTCAGTTGAGGGTTTGACGCAAGCTAGCTATATTTAGCTAACCGTTTTCCGGTTATCACTTTCAAAATAAAACCCGTACGGGCAAGTGTTAAAGTAAAAAATCTTTTTTTGTGGAAATATTCAATGTCGCTATTTATTTAATTTATTGTATTTATTCCACTTACATGCGCCCATGTAAGATTTGACCTCCAACCCCTTCAGAATGTTACTTGTAAGGCAGCCAATAAATTATTTTATTCCTCGAATGATACAGCGCTTTTACTTTGAAAGACAAATTATATCAGTTGTGGAAATGCTTTTGCTGCTTACGCTGAGCTAGACCAGTTTTTCTTAAAATTTCCAAGAAGTAATAGATGAAGTAAATCAAAGTTCCGGGTCGGGTACGGCTGGTTACAGCCGCCCCCTGCTGTCCCTTCAGTCTCCAGGAGTTTTTTCATATTGTACACACTTTTCACTGCTACTTCAGTGCGGGCCTGTTGTAACTACATGGTCAGCTGGGTGTCCTGGTGGCTTATTGCACCAACCACTGACAACATTACTGCACTGAGTACAAAAGACATTGCTGCATTGCTCTGTAGATTTGTAGTCATAGAAGTATGACATTGCAGAGCTACAGGAAATGAAGGGAGGAAGAGATAGGGAATGCAACACTGGAATCAAACAAGGGAAGTTGGAATTAGCAATTAGTGCACATGGCCAGCACCTTTAACCCAGAGGCCATCAGGCAAGGGTGCAGGTTTCATTTCAATATTAGGGGGGGAAACACATATAAAACAGGGGGGCTGGGGATCCTCTGCCAATATTGGCAATACTTAGATTCCAATTTAGGATGTAAACATCTTAAATTATGTCAAAGTCATCTGCTCCTTTCACATTTTTATTGCTGGTGGGGTCAAATGCACATGTTCTAAGTATTGAGGGGTACATGTGTGTGTCCCTTCCATCTACACCGACACTATCAGAACACTTAGAATAGACCTGAAACTTTAAAACGTATAATATAACTCAGATTTTGTCATGAGTTATATAGACATCCACTGTTTGTTGTGTATAATTTAACAATGACTTGGCTATATGTTGACCAGTGGAGTTTAAGGGATAGTACACCCTAATCTCAGAATCTTATCTTCACCTTTAACAGTTTTAATTATCAGCACCACAAAGCAAGCTACGCAAGTTAAACTGTTGTCACATTGTTATATCTGCACCTTTTCTTTTATGTACACGTAAGCCAGTAATGACTTCACCAAGTGATAACATTTCCTTTAAAATAATTAATAGCCCTGGCTCACTTTAACGCATCTGAACACCATTTCACAATTCTGAACTGAATTTACTGCAACAGGATACAATGATACGAAACCCTGCCTGACACACACCAGCAATGAAACATATTACTTAAATTGGACACCACGCAATACACAAAGAATACCAAAGTTTTTATTTTGTTTCATTTGATGCAACTACAGCTTAGCAATGGTGATCCTCTTAAAAACAGTCCGTGGGTTTGAGTCTCACACGCCATCACACACAGACACAATTCATTCAACCCAGTACTGCTGAACTCCCTGGCTGCTCTAATAAAGAATTAGGCAAACTCACAACACTGTCCAAACACTATGACTGGCTACTGATCAGCAGAGGATGAGTAGCGACCGATCTGTCCACAGTGATGTAAAGTGCAACAATGAGACAGGATGCATCAGTAAAGCGGAAGGTTTCTGTGGATGAATTCCAAAAACATGATGAAGTGTAGCCCCAAATTAGTAGCAGTAATAATATATCTATCAGGTATAAAAAATAAATGCTATTCTATACAAGCGGTAGAGAGGGATATAAACAGTACATACTGTACATACATACACGTCATCCAGGGCAAAACAGGACATTATCACACAAAAAGAAGAAGTGATAGAAATATGAATAATGTCAATATAGTACTTTAACAATCTGATGAGTAAACAACTCATCCTGAGCTGCTGCTCGACTGTCCCCTGCACAGAGAAAATGATTAGAGTTGCGATATTAAATTCAGAGTGATAGGCAGTATTTCATTTACAAGAAACAGGAAGAACATTGGAATAAAACAACTTAATAGGGATCTGTGCCAAATATACAGATACAAGCAAAAACAGGAGTGTTTTCCATGACGTGGTGACTATATTCACTGCATCAGTAAAAATACATACATGTCCTTTTACATACAAATGAACTGAGTACAACGGTATTCATATACATACATAATACGTGAAATACAATCGCCACAGAACTTATTTTGGAAAGGGGGGAAAAAGCTATTTCTCTGACGTACTCCAATAAAGTTATATATTAATCAGAGCCAATAAAAATCTGCAAAGTTCAAAAGTCCAGAGGCAAAATGAAACTGAAAGCAAGCCTATTTTTTTTCTCATCAAACCTGTCGGTATAGAAGTGCCGATCTTAACCAGTTAGAGGAGACATTTTACTTTCAAAGCTCTTTGTTGACCTAAAAAGTGTTTATGTAAAAAGGTAGAATTCTAAAACAACCCCGACCCACCCACCTAACCCTGCACTGTTTTGGTCCTTGGCTCTTTACGTCACAAAGTTTATTGGCTTCACTAACTCAACATCAAGATCCTCTTTCTCTTACTGGTTCACAAAAACACTTCCAACACTGGGAGGTTTAATTAAGATAAATCCCCATGATTCAAAACAAAGCACATCATACATATAGAGTGATCATTTGAGTTTGGAACCTTTGCTTGTTTGCAAAACTGTCGCCCTGCCTGCGTTAAAAATGTAGTTCATATTTCACAATAGTCTTGTGTGCCGGTAATACAAAATATATATTCTCTATGTACATTGAGGACAGTGCATAATATTAAACCAGCTGTGTTTGGACGCATTCAAGCCATGCGTGAGCAGCTGCCGGGTGACAAAGGCTGTGCTCTGTTTAGTCTGCCATGACTCTTTACCTGATAGGAAATGGGATTCTCTTTTATCTCCTGGAGACATCTGACTCAAGTTAAGAGAGCGTTCAATACAAAACTCAAGTGCACACGCAGACGCACAGGCACACTTGTGTAAAGTGTGTCTACTCACATTCGCTCACAAGCACACGGGTAAGCCGACACACAGACAACGCTTTACCATACGTGACAATCTAAAAATATAATTATTTGTTGGTTTTCTTGGAAAAGCAGTAAATAAAATGTTTTGTTCTCGCCTGGGTTTCTTCACGAGGCCACACGTCGAGCTACTGTCTGACTGAGCTCAGGTTGAGCTCACCGTGTCAGTGCAGAGGTGTCCTTGAACGCTCATCGGATCATATCGGCTTTCCTGCACCTCTTCTCACCTTCACTGTCAGTGAGGGGGACAACTTGGAGAAAATGAAGGTAGATTAGCATGTTTGGGAAACTGTATCCCGCTCTGAAAACAATCTCTGAGGTCAGAGATTGAGAATGGGGACGTCAAAGAGGTCGCAAAGGCCTTCTGTCTCGTCCAGGTTGTATATGTAGTCGTGGTCGCTGGGTGGAGGGGACAGACGGAGCAGAGGTGAAAACACTGGGGTTGAAACAGACAGAGAAATTGATTAGACTTGCAGGATGCAAAAAGGGGCAATAATTTCTTTGTTATACATTTCATACATGATCAATTCACATTTTTTTTGTTTTCTGTAATTGTCATTTTCTTCTCTATCCAACAAACCCACCTTCTGATGACATCAAGTCCTCCAAAAGGTCTCCACTCATGATCTCTGTCAGAGAAAGAATAAAGAACCATCAGTTGGCAGGACACTGAGAAAGGGGTACACAGGAAACTAATGCAAAATCAATGGACAAAACAAAACATGTTATATAAGTAATAAATTAGAGGAGTTATACCTTTTGTTGGATCAAACATTTCAGAGAGCTCTTTGGGAAAGTCCAGCACTAGAAGAAAACCACATCAAACAGTTCAGCTATACACTCCGTCACTACGTCACAGTTAAAGGTATACTGTGCAGGATTTGTCGTTTACAGTTTGTAACATCGCCACTGGAAGGGAAAGCCAACCACAGATTCACTGTTGTTCTATATATTTGCATTTTTCTGGCACTGTGTCTGTGATTTTGTAGTTTCCTCTTGGATCCATGCTGCTCACTGTCTGGCACCTGGTGACTATGTTCTTATTAAGCCCCAACCTCACCTGCATAAGATATCTTTAAATATAAAAATACTGAAAATGTCCTTGTCGTATGTCACATAGTCTTGCATAAAAATAAGTGTTAAAAAAAACAAAAAAAGGTTTATAACCAATAAGTCAGACTGAACAGAGAAGTTAAATATTAGTCGTCATAATGTGCAAAACTCACATTCAGAGGGATCTGACTTAATTGGTTCAAATACTGCAGAGACAGAGGAGGACGCAGATCCATCCAACGAGGCAGAGGACTGTAGTTGCTGAGTAACTGTAGCAGGCGTATCTGTTGTTAGGGTGAGTGGCGTGGTGCTCGTCACTTCTGAAACTGAAAAAGTGTGATAAAAATAATGTTGGTCCATGGCGTTACCATACAGCACAACTGTGTAAAACACAACAATAAGGTAAAATGTAGACGTATTTATAACATTAAGAACTGCTCTTTGCAGTCTTGCGGGTGCACTTGTTGGTACCTGTCACTGAGGCTGTCTGGCTGGCTGCTGTCACTGACGTTGTGGCAGGAGCAGGTTTTGTAGGTGTTGCTGGAGCTGCTTTAGAGACCTGGAGGGTGGAAAGATAAAGGAGAGAAAAATAAAATTTGTAAGGTGTATAAAAGCAGATCTCAGTGTTTGAGTCATTTTTCCATGGTGATTAAGCATTAATTAACGCTATTTAAAACATAATTGCCATCTCAATGAGGAAAACTGAGAAATATTGATGTCTTGGCATCAATGTCTTTTTCTACTCCTCATAGCTGTTTCAATAAAGACAGATGTCTGAACCTCCACTCTCTTACAGTAAACAGATCAAATACATGAACAGAGTCGATTGCATAGAGAAAGCAGATATCT